AAAAATGAGGACCTAATGCCGGGGGCTTAAATGGAGAGAAAATGTTTTGAAAATGATGAGGGCAATGAATGTACAAATGTGTTTTACACAATTGATGTATGTATGGATTGTGATAAGAGTTGTATGAGCCCCTAATAAAATGATTTTAAAAAGAAGAACTCCCAATAAAATGATTTATTAACATTTTTAAAAGAAATAAAGGAATGTTTGGAAACGGATTGTAGTAGCAATTGTACAATTCTACCTGACATGATTGAACTACGAATGATATGATGTGTGTATTAAATCCCAATTACTAACACATTTTCTTTAAAAAGTAGCAAGTGAAGGCACATACAGAAAGTCAGTTACTCGCAGAACAAGGGGGACACATTCTAGGAATCAGAGCAAGCCTTGTCACTTTTAGTGTCAGCCTTTGTCACTTCTAGTGTCGTTAAAAGGCTGTGGTTGAGTTCATTTCTTGAGATGGGCCAAACACAAATAAATAAAAAATTCCTCCAGATTCCTTGTCCCTTGAACCAAGCAGTGGGCCGAGTGGCTAAAACAGAGGAGAAAAGCACAACTGCATGGATGTGGAGTCCTCCAGGACAAACAAGTTCCTCCCAAACAAACGAAGAAGCAAACGGCTGTCAGGTAAGCTAATGTGACCTGAGTGAGATTCTGTGTCTCCGTTTCCCCTGTACACGAAGAGGATTTGGGGCCCCGTTCTAGAGTAGACAAGGTGTCCAGGAAAGACAGGACATCTGCGTTCCCACCGCCACCCTTACCCTCACCCCAAATAAACCTGGTGCCAAACGCCAAAGCTCCAGACACAAAGATGCTGAGTCCCTGCGGAGGCCACCCTGCTCTTCTCAAGACTCAGGGGTACCCTCCTGCTCAGTGCCCCCACAGTTGCCCCGAAATCCCCAGTGCCTCAGTTTCTCCTCCCGAAGTACTCCAGGCATTCCCTGGCTCAGGGACCCCACCCCAGGACACGCTACCCACACACACCCCCACCCCCAGCATTCCCATGTTCAGGGCCCTGTTTAGGCCAGCACTTCTACAGACCCGTCTAGCGGGGGTGGAGGCAGCCCCAGGCTCCGGGGTCTCCCACACTGGTTGGAGCAGCACCTCCTCTCTCTTTGCCGCCCCACCCAACTCTACCCCACCCATGTTTCCCCAAGCCTGGGGGCAGGGGTGGGGTGGTGGATGGCACCCAAGTTCTCAGAAAACAAAATCAAGGGGAAAGAATGAGCAAGAAGGGAGCTCATTACCAGAAACTAAAGGAGGAGGCCTCCCCCAGGTTTAAAGCAAGCTGGATGGGTCTGACACCCGCACCCCTAGAAACACTGCGTGCACATACATGTGTGCTTGGAGGTACACACAAGGTGTCCTTTGAGTACACAGAGCTGTGCTCAGAGCTGCATGGGGAGGTACACAGAGAAGGACCAGGTGAGAAGAGGCAGGCAGTGATAGAGGTACAGAACACCACAGACACATTGGCCCCGGAAGCACCGCCCTGCAGACATAACCTGACACACTGAGAATGAAAGACAGACACACCCAGAGACACGGAGAAGTGCACACATGGGCATGCTTACACACACAGGCACACAAAGAAACAGGAAACGGGTCCGGTTTCAGGGAGCTGATTGCCACCCAAACGGAGTCTGAACTGAAGGCAGCCGTGAGCAGCTCCACAGTGCACTGGGGGGGACGAGAGGCCCAGCAAGAAGGGACAGAGAGGAGGGGAGGGTCCTCACTGCCCTCCCATGCACCCACCATCCCTTCACACCCACCTTCGAAAATGAATCGAGTGGAATAAGGAAGAAGATACTGCCCTAAAGGAAAAGAGATTTCTTTCTAGAATTTGCTAACAGCCACTAGGGAGGGGAGGTGAAGAGCTTCTCTCCAGTTCCTGTCCTTACTAGGCTCTGCCCTGACCCTCCACCGAACCTGGTCCCCTTGCTATATGAACCTCTATATACCTGTATGCCATCCCTCTGCTCCTCCCTAAGAGTTTCCTACAGTCAGGGCGCCTCAGTCATCGCTCCCACCTCCCTTCCCACTCAGGAAAACTCAACATCTGTGAGCAGAATCTGAGGTAGAAGAGGCTGCTGAATTGAATGACTTTTAAAACCCCTGCCTTCAGCATCTCCCCTCCTCTCCCCACCTCCCTCTGGCTCCATTGGACAAATCCAGAGGAAACATTTCTTCTTTGCCGTCTGCTGGCCATGGTGCTAAGGCTTCTTGTGAATTATCTTCCCTTACTTCATTCTCTTGTCCCCAATTCACAGATGAGGAAACTGAGGTTCAGGGAACGAGAGTGCCCACTCCAAGGTCACACGCCGGATTCAGGTCCCACTGCTTGTTAGCCACTGTACCGGAAGGGCCCCTGCCCCTCCCCGGGCTGGGCTGAGCAGTCAGGGACAGCTGCAGGATTGGAGACCAAGGGAGAGGAGAGCCTGAGGTGTGCTGCAGGGGTCTGAAGGTGGGACAGGGTGGCTGCAATGAAACTTTACAGTCAACTTCTCCTCCCACGATTTACCCTCCCTTCCCCACATCTCCCTCCCTGCACCCCGCACCCCACCCCCCAGGACCTGGGAAGGGGACACTCCCTCTGGCTCAGTTCCCTCAGCATTCCAGACACACCTCCTTTGGGGAGCTGGGGACAGGGAGGGGGGTGGGAATCTGAGGGAATCTTATCCCACCCCCACATTCTCAGGCAGAGCCTTGGCTGTGTGACCTTAGGTTTGCCACCCACCCTCCTTGAGCCAGGGTCTCCTCTGTGAAGTGTCTAGGGACTGAGTTGATTTAGTCCTTAAAACAGACCCAGGTATCGCCTGGTTCCCACGGGGTTAAACTCTGCAGAAGGGTTGGGTCAGGCCACCTTCCCTATTATTCCCACTGCAACCCGAGAGGACCTGGTAAGGAGGAGAAAGTGAGGTGGGAGTCATGGGACATGTGATCTGAAAGCTTCTTGGGCTCAGGTGTGTCAGTGTGTCCAAACCCTGCCTCAGTGGGCGTGCCCTCACTGGAGAGATGAGGCAGGAGGAAGGACAGGGAGCGATGGTACTGGCATCTCTGGGCTGAGATCATTGTGGCCGACTGTGGGAGATAGACAGCACGGTGGGCATCCTGGAGGAGGGGGTACTAGAGCAGAGCAGGAGGACTTGAATGAGCAAAGTGCTGGTGATAGGAAGGAGCATCACAGGGTAGTCCAGACTGAGCAGTATAAAGAGATCATGTCCCTCATGACCCTGGCCAGGTCCTAGAGTCTGGAGGCAGAGTGAAAGGCCTGGGAGATTATCCAGAGGTGCAGCCAGCCAAAGTCTCACACTTAGGAAAGGTTCTCTGGCTGCTGGGTGGAGTGGCTTGAGGTTTTCAGGTATTGGAGCCCAAATAGCTTCAGGTTGCAGAGAACAGCCCGGGTTCCCTGTTTGGTCTCCCTCAATGACTGGACGCTCACTATGTTGTGGGTAGCAGCTCAAACCTGCCTTCTTGAGGTGACGGTGGGATACAGGGATTGGGAAGGAGTCGCACTACCCTGGCAACACCCAGGAGGATGGAAGCTTGAGGGAGAGGCTTGGTGAAGGGGCTGAGAGGGTGGAAGATGGAGCCAAAAGTCTTGTTAAGGGGTCCTCTGATCTCTGTGTGACTGTGTGACCTCCATCACCTGGGGCAAAGCTGGAGTTCTACCCCTCATTCAGGAGTAGCCTCGCCAGGTTAATAAGGACCCGCAGGGAATGTGAGTAGCCACGTTCAGACACACCACAGCTCCTTATCTGGGTGCAGAGAGGCAGCAGCACCGAGAGATTGCACAGTCCGTAGCTTGGGGCATAGGTTTTATTATTTTTTTTATAAAAGACAAAAGGGTACATAAATTGAGGGAAGGATTCAAGGGGGGAGGACCCGATTCGGACTGAGGTCTCTCAACCCCTACCTGTGAGCCTGTCTGTAACATTTGCTGTATGTACTTAAAACGACAACAACAAAGCAAACATGAAACATGACCTAGTTCACCCTCACCCTCTCAGGCCTAGAATATGCCCCAGACACATTACATATGGGAAGTCGGAACTCCACACTCAGGTTGTGAGTCCCCTCCCCGCTAGCCCTACTCAGACCCCCACTCCACCGCCCCCAAAGCCTATGGGAAACCCCCCTTAGAAAAACGGGCAGACACACACACAGACTGCAACCAGAGGATGCTCCGCCATGGGGAGTCGCGGCATGCCCACTCCTGGCGCTCTCCTTACAGGTGTGCCCCCCTGCCTCCCCCCACCCCACACACACACACACACACGCCCTTCCCTGGGCTTCTCCTGCAACTGCGACAGCTAGAATCCTTTCCACTTGGTTCCTTGTCCTGCAATCTGGAGAATCGCGCAGGCACTCAAACACACACACACACACACACACACACACACAGAGCCTTGCTGCCCATTCATTCTCTACCTTTGGGAGACAAAGGGACATGACATGTCAGCCCTGCTCCCTGTCCCACCATAGCTTAAGGGCAGTGGCCTGAGGTTCCCTTTGGTCAGGGCCCAGGGGGAAGTGCTCCTGGGGGCTGTCCATCTCGGGAGCTCCCGAGCCTTGGGAGGAAGGCCTTGAGGGACATTTGGGGAGCAGCCCCTGCAGTCAGTGAGGGGCTGGGCTGGGGAGGGCCTGGCCAGGACCCCTCAGATCTGCTCCTTTTGCTTCATGTGGGCCAGCTTCACATTCTCCTCATCATTGGAGGGTGGGGGCTGCTCCAGGTGGCAGCCGATCATGAGCTGATACACGAAGACGCCCGCGATGGAGCCCAGGAGCGGGGAGACGATGGGCACCCACCACCAGTGCTTGCCAGTCCTGGGGGCGGGAAAAGGGGGCGACAGGCATGCTCAGGGGTGGGTGGGGCGGGGCAGAGGGATGGGCTGGGGAGGGCTGGGTCAGGGGCTGCACTCACGTGAAGACCTCCGAGCCCCAGCCTGCGATGGCGGTGAAGAGGCGAGGGCCAAAGTCTCGCGCAGGGTTGACGGCATAGCCAGAGTTGAAGCCCATGGAGGTCCCGATGACCAGGACCACTAGGCCCACGGTGAAGGCCTCCAGGCCGCGGGGGACCGGGTTGTTGTAGGGGTCGACGATGGCCAATACACACACGATGAGGGAGGCTGTGCCGATGAACTGGCCGGCGGACAGGCAAGACAGATGGACAGATGAGCTGAGGGTCTGGTCCCCACCCTTTCCCCCGCCCTCGGGTCCCTCCTCTGGCTCCTCCTCTCCAGCCCAGAGAGCCATTGCCACACACTAATATCTATACCATTTGGGGGTTCAAGAACCCCGCAGGGGAGATGGTTAAATACAGGAGCCCTAGAGTTCTGTCTTTGCCACCATGGCTCAGAGGCAGGCAGGGCACCCACTAAGAGGAGGGGCACTGCCCCACAGCCAGCCCCTGAACAACCCTGGCTGGAGGGAGCATGGGCCTCTCTCTCTGCTCCCCCACTCCCACATCCCCAGCTCCATACCTGGTCAAAGAAGCCGTTGACCATGTCCAAATGTCCAGAGGGGTAGGTAGCAAAGATGCCCGCAGTGCCGTTGGGGCCCGAGACTATAAGTTCATTATTGGCAAAAGCCCAGATGGCATCTAGTAAGAGATTAGGCTCAGTGGGAAAGGGCAGAGGCCTGAGCCCCACGGGGATTAGGGGACACCCCCATCCAAGGGGTCAAGAGTATACCTAATCCTGGGTTACTTTGAAGTCAGATGGGGTGGGGTCCATTGGGGTGGAGAACCCAAGACATTCCTCTTGCCCAACTTGTTTCTCTGCCCCCTCGGGGCCCCCACCTTGGGCTTGTGTGTGTGTGAATGAGTGAGTCATGGGCCTGAGGCCGGGGAAGGCCCTGCTATCTGTCAGCCAAAGGCCTGAGGACAGCTGGCCTGCATCCACATGAGAAGGGGTAGTGGAGGAGGGGGAGGGTGCTTACCATAATACAGTCCAAAAACGATCCCAGCCCCTAGGAAGGCGCCCAGCGTCTGAGCCAGAGTGTAGATGGGCAGCTTGATCCAAGGCTCTCTCGCCAGGAAGCACATGGCAAAGGTCACTGCAGGGTTCAGGTGGGCCCCTGGATATAGGGTAGATGGGACCTGTTAGCCATGGACTGACTTAAGGAAGTCAGGGACCTAGACATCCTCCTCCCTCCTCCCTGGTCCCAGGGAGCAGAGGACAGGCATGGGATTTCGGTGGACTAGGTCTCAGGCTAACTGAGATAATCCTTGATTCCCCAGGTGAGAGTCGAAGGTTCTATGTGTCAAGTTCAAAGGTGTCTTTCCTTCTCCACCCTCCTCTTCCAAGGGTCCAAAGCTGAGCCACGGCTATGGCCTGCCTTCGGAGATGCTTCCTGCACACATCCCATCCTCCGAGAATGACACCTGGTAGGAATGCTCTTGAGGGTCAGGGGCTGTGGGTGGGACGAAGTTCTCACCAGAAACCTGGCCAGCAATGAGGATGCCCAGAGTGACAGCGAAGCCGAAGGCCAAGTTGATGGTCAGGAAGCCTCCATGGGTGCCCCGGCTGAGTACCACCTGGGCCACGGAGCCACAGCCAAACATCTGTGGTAGGAGGCAGAGCAAGGCAAGAGGGTGAGGCCCAGCACTTCTCACTGCTGACGGAAAGGATGGAGCCAGCAATTGCTGCCTGACACTCTCCAGAGAGCAGGAGGCCTTTACAAGAAACCACCCCAATCCTCCCAATGTCCCAACTCTAATATAACACAGCCCTACAGACTGAAGAGGAGCCCTGGTGGCGCTGTCAAGTCACCGTGGACTGTTAACTGAAAGGTCTGCAGTTCAAACTCACCAGCTACTCCAAGGGAGAAGGATGAGGCTGCGCACTTGTGTCAAAAGTTACAGCGTCAGAAACTCTGCAGAGCAGTTCTACTCGGGCCTTTATAGAGTCCCCAGGTAAGAATTGACTGCTGTGGGTTTATGGACTAGAGGCAGGCCCCAGAACCCAGAAACCCAAGTCCACAGCCTGCTTGGAACATCCTCCTGGGTGGACTCAAACTGCAGCAGGAGCGGAGCTGTTCCCCTAGCCCTTCAGGCCCGGCCCAATAGCAGAGAGGCGGTCATTGTGAATCCCCTGCTCTGGTTGCCACAGAAGGGAGGTGGAAGCAACTTCCTCTGTCAGAGCCCCTGCTGGCCTGTACCCTCTGGGCTCCTCACAGCAGGTCCTCTTTGGCCTGCCCCTGTCAAGGGGAGCCTCTTCATTCCACCACCCTAATCTCTCTGCCTTCAGCAGCCTAAGGTTCCCCACTCAGATTTGGGGGTCCCAGACACAGGCATCTGAGTGATGAGATTGGTTCTGAGCTTTCTGACCAGGGCAAAGACAATAGAGTTAAAGTATACCCCTGGTGGTCCACAAGGTCAGAGGATACCATATGGCTGTTCCCCTGGTTCAAGTCGAAAAATTCCTCTGTACCATGTGGTGAAGAGCTGTGACCTTGAGACCTCTGAATGCTGAAAGCTCCCTAAAGTGCCCCAGCCCCTGAGCAAGTCTCCCCCCACCCCCCACCCTCCAATGAAAAGTTTTAAGCCATTTCTAAGACCTTAACCTCAGTGATTAAGGCTCTGGTTCATTCCAAAGGGTCAAGTGTCCTGGCTTGTTAAGCATTTTGGTTATCACCCCTCACAAAGAGATAGTGGGGATGCTATCAGCAATGATGCAGGGCAAAGGTGTGCAGGTAGGTGAAAACAAAGATCAGAGATTGGAAGTGTGTGGGCAGCAGGGGGAAGGGAGGGCAGGCCCGTGGGGGTCTGAGGCATCCTGCTCAGCTTGGCAGGCTCTGCCCTCAACTCCTTGGCTGCCTGAGGCCCAGACCTGGCTCCATGCCAGGAGGCCTGGGAGGGAGGAGTTGTCAGAGCCAGTTCCACCACCTTGGGGCTAATCTTCCTCTTCCTCCCCAAGTCCTGGCCAGCCACCCTCCCCCACCTGGAACCTCAGAAAAAGAGGCTTCTCTCACATGACAGCCAGCCTAACTCTGCCACTGCAGTCTATAGGAGCCCACCCAGCCCTGGCCAGCTGGGGTCTTCCAGGCCTGGCCCCTCCTCTTCAGGCGGCCCATGAGCTTCTGCTTTTCACTGGCCCCTGATACCTCACCCTTACTGAGCCTGAAAGCCTTCCCTACAAACATGACACCCTCCTTTTGTGGTCTGGGATCAGCCAAATAATCCCGGGGGTGAAGCTCAGGACAGATTGCTCCTCAGGAAGGTGTGTGTGTGTGTGTGTGTGTGTGTGTGTGTGTGTGTGTGTGTCCTGAGATAAGGTAGACCAAAGGGAGTCCTATCTAGAAGATAGAAGACACCCCTTTTCCTCCTCCCCATTCTAGCTGCTCGAAAACACCTACAGACCCAGCACTCAGGTGGGCAGTAGGGCACACAGACCTGGCACAGGGGTGGGGGCAGTGGGACGGCTGGTGGGTCCACCAGTCTCAGAGGGACTGTAGACGAAGTGCTCACCTGGCTTGCCCTCCTTCCTGCTTTCCACAGCCAGAGGCCAGTCTCTGCGGAGCCTGCCCCACTATTGCCATCACTTTGGGCTGGGCCCTGAAGGTGGTCACGGCACCCAGCTGCTAGCTGCAAAGTTGGCAGTTTGAACCACCAGCTACTCCCAGGGGGAAGGATGAGGCAGTTGGCTTCATTAAAGATTTACAGTTTCTAGACCCTGGGGGGGGGGGGGGGCAGTTCCACTCTCTTCTAAAGGGTCTCTGTGGGTAGGAATCAGCTCTCTGGTGTTTTTGTTTTGTCTTTACCTCAGGGCTTTAAAAGCCCTGGTGGTGAAACAGCTAAGCTTGGCTGCTAATGGAAAGGTGGAGGTTTGCACTCATTGGGCAATTCAGGAGAAAGGCCTGGCAGTCTGCTCCCATAAAGATTAGGACCCCTGGGGACAGTCACATGGGTTCACTCAAAGTGGATCTGCTCCAAGGGCCCCAGTAACAGCCTCCACTCCTACTAGCTGTGCAGGCTCCTAGAGGGCTGGTGGATTGGGCTGGGCTGCCCCTGGGGCTAGGTGGCCAGGAGCAAGGTAACCCACCCACTGGGAGCACCAGGAGACTGAAGCTGAGGTCACCTAGGAGAAAGGAGGTGTGACCACCCGAACAGCTGAAAATCAAGATTCCCTGGAAAACGGAGCCCATAACTAGTGTGCTGCCAGACCCACGGTGTGCAAGCAGAGTCACAGCAGGAACAACCTGGGAGCACAGCAAGCCGGCCTTCCCCAGGGAGCCAGTCCCCATGCCTGAGGAGCAGCAGGGGTGAGGACGTTCCCTGGCTCAGTGGCCCTGGGGAATAGCCACACGTGCCACCAGCCTCTGCACAGGAGCTGCCAGAACTGACCCGGGATGTGATGGGGAAGGAACTTTAGACACTCCTTTCTCCCTCCAAGCTCGGGGCCAGCCCCCTCCCACCAGCCTCCTGCTTCAAGACCCTGCTTTCAGCCTCTGTGCTATCTGGCTGGCCTCTGCCCTCTGCCCCCACCCCTGGACTGTTCTTGCTTCACTGCAACTTTTGGACTTTCTGGGGCTTAATTATTCATGAGTGGCCAGACACTAGAGCCCAAATAACCTAATAAGGTGTCCGTTCACCCCACCGAGCTGACTGCTTCCCTGGGCGGGCACCCTGCGACCCTGGGGGGCGGCGGGAGAAGTGCCCTATCTGCAGGTGACCCTTTGTGGGGGAGCCGGGGAGCCGGGTTGTCGGGAGGAGTAACAGCTGTCATTCTGGCAAGAGTCGGCGCTGTCATACATGGGAACCTAGCTGTGTGCTGGCAAAAGGGTTGAGGGGGTCCGGCCAGGGCGGTCGGAGCTGAGATCCGGGAGCCAGCGCCCTCGGCGTGCGAGACCCAGGCAGCCCCGGGGTGGGGGGTGTAGTGGGGGGCTCCCGGCGTCCTCCACTCACTCACCACGAGGATGAGGGTCCCCAGGCACTCGGCGAGCGCCTGGCGCAGCAGGCGGTAGCGGATGTGCAGCATGTCGCCGCAGCGGGACACCAGCTCCTTCTGTCGACCCATGGCGGCGGGTGGCGGGCGGCTCGGGCGGCGGGCGCTGCAGCTGTGGCCGCGAGCGACGGGCGGCGCCCTTTATAGAAGCGCGGGAAGCGCGGCCCCGCCCGCCTCACCCTGCCTGGAGGAAGGCAGGGGGCCGGCAGAGGGAGGCGCTGGGGGCTGGGTGGCCCAGGAGGGTGCTGAGGGGAGGGGCTGTCCCGGGGCTGAGAGGCCCCCCGTGAGTGTGCGAGATGGCGTGGGCGGGGGTGGGGGGGCCGGCATGGCTGGAGAGTGTGGAAGTGCCAAAGGAGAGTGGCCCCTTCCTCCACTCCTCTGAGCGCGTGGTCATCCTCCCCGTAGGGACAGCTAGACCCAGCATGGCCTCCCTGGGTGAGGAGGACTGGAGTGAGTCCAAGCAGCGGGCCTCAAGTGAAAAGCGCCCCTCTCCCAGCTCAGAACCAGGGGGACTCCGCGCACGTGTGCTGAGTTCCAATGCCAGCCCACAGCCCTTGCCCCTTGTGCTGCAAGGACACACACAGTTGCCTGTCCGGGCCATCACTGTCCAGGTCACGTATGTACGTGTTCTGTGCGCCCGAACACACTGGATGGGCATACCTCCTGTTCGTGCACATGCCTGTGGAGCGTGGCCAGGAGACCTGGGCCTGTCCCACATGTACCTGTGTGTGTTTTTCACCTGGCTCCACAGGCTGAGCGCAGTTGTCCTGACTTGCCGCATGCCCAGTGTATTTGCCAACAAGGTGAGTCCTTGATGGTTTGAACGCACTCCTCTCCCCCTCTGGCTGATCCCAAGCCACCACGGGGAGAGTCGGTCCCTTTACGAAGTTAAGCTGACGAAAAGGTGGGGTGTCTGAGGGACACTGAGGGCAGCCATGAGCAACCCTGCCCCTCACTTCTCATCTAGTAAGTGGGAAACCAACCAAGACCTGGCAGCCTGGGCCCTGCTCCTGCTCCCTCGGGACTGGAAGCAGAGTGCCCCCCCCAACCCCAAGTCTCTATAATAGCCTTGTCAGGGGGGCCAGGAGAAACCACATTTTCCAGGACTTAATACAGGCCCTTCAGAAGCAGAAAAACAAAGCTTTCTACTCACTAGGGGTCCCAGACACAGGCATCTGAGTGGTGAGATTGGTTCTGAGCTTTCTGACCAGGGCAAAGACAATAGAGTTAAAGTATACCCCTGGTGGTCCACAAGGCCAGAGGATACCATATGGCTGTTCCCCTGGTTCAAGTCGAAAAATTCCTCTGTACCATGTGGTGAAGAGCTGTGACCTTGAGACCTCTGAAT